CTACTTGACGAAACTTTGCATAAAATAAAAGTATAAAAGTTTTCATTTAGACGTGTCAGTTAATTAATTATTATTTTTTATCCGAGTTTTTGTTCTCTTCTTGCAAAACAACATTCATTTAATAAGAATCATCTACAGTTTAAGCACCTATAAGTTTTAATAACACTAATTCAAGAGCACACTTATTTTCACCACTATTATTTTTCTAAAAATATGTGCAAAGAAAGTAATAATTATCAGCCAAGCGTAGGAGTGGTTAAGTTAGCTATTTTATTAACATTGAACCTTGTAATATCAGGATTTTAAAATATTCTTTTAACAAACAAGCAGCCTCAATTTTATATGGATATGTTAGGATTTAAATCAAGTTTTTATCAATATGTCAGAATTTTAATCAATTTTATGCAAATATGTTGGAACCTGAAGTTTCTTGCCGACTAACTTGATGAATTCTCCTAGATATTTAAGTGCCAACAATTTGACGAGAGTTCCAGAAGCTAGTCTGACTCATCTGTCGAGCTTACAAAGACTCTGGTTGGACAAGAACGAGCTGACCGAAGTACCTACTGATACTTTGCAGGATTTACCCAAATTACAGGCATTGTAAGTACAAATTTAATAACTACTTGTTATCGCAATCGAAGATTTCAGGTAAATTTACTTGTTAAAGACAAAATTACCGAAACCATCGGATTTTAATAAACATTTTATGAAGAAAATTACTTAGAGGGTCTAACTATGTTCGTTACAATATTCTTACTAACATATAACTTATCACACGGAAACACAATGTAAGCAAAAGTATCGCCAATGTTTCATTTGAGCCTATTAGTTACTACTGGGGCTTCCTACGTGTGTTTTCGTAGAAAATGAGCATTGTTTAGGTCAGTACTTCAGAGTGAGTGCTGTAGCTGACAAAAGCATCAAATTACTCAACACTAAACAATAGTGAATGGTATGTAAACAAGTCATTAAAACTTGAAGTTTAAGAGACATCATACAAAATCATATGAAGACTTTACATCTCTCCTTATGTAACATTGGAAAAGTTAAGTAAACACGCAGCTTCAAGATTGTAAAGTACAGATTTTAAATTGTGTTATCAAATTGTGTTTTCGATACAGATTTCTATATTTTCAGACTATTCGTATTTCCATATTATTTTCTGCTCCAGGACAAATGCATGCTATATCCTAAAAAAATAACTCTCCATTATGTGATAAGAAGTAAACTTTTTGCAAGTAATACCTTTAATAGTTGAAACTACAGGAGTTTGAGCTTCTGTAGTTTAAAAATAAAGGAAAGAGTACCTCAGCTTTCAACACGAAACTTCGTGACTATCTTTACATCAGAATTTCAAGCAATTTTTCGATTATATTTGCTCCCAGGCTCTTTCACATAGTTTGGTTTATATATTAGTATATATAAGATGATCTTGTTTTTACAGAAACATGGCTTCCAACAATATCAGGCAGATTCCAGATTATGCATTCCAGAATTTGTCTACCCTCTTCATCCTGTAAGTGACTGTAGCCGAAATCTTTATCCAAATGAACTATTATAAAGATTGAATTATTGTCAATGTGAAATTAAGTTATTGCTCCATGTGTGTCTATGTAGTGTCATAGTAAACAACTAATGTGAAGTACATTATACATGGCTGAGTATAAATGTTGCTTGATTAACTTTTAATCATATCTAATACCGAAATATTATGGTTCAACTTAGGTTTGTCGTATAGACAGATCTACCTGTCTATAACATTCTTGTAGTTAACTAGATTTAGAGATACACAGTATTATATGTTCAAAATTATTATGGTACCTTTTTTTGATAAATATCCAAGGCTGTGTAAAAAGGATTTTTTAAATTAAAAAAAAAGGTGTGTTTTCAGGAATCTAGATGGTCTATACGTATAGAAAATATACAGAACGAATAAAGGATTTTCTGATTCTCTGCTGTTCAAAAGTTTTGGGGGAATAGTTATCTGTCTCAAGCCTCTTCCTTTGTGTTTGTAACAGAAAGTATTTTTACCTCAGGAAAAAAAATGATATCTGCTCTGATTAATTATGATTTCTTTTCGTGCTCTAAACTCCTGCTTAGTTTTTAAAACGGTTTTTGAATTTGCGTTGCTAAATATGTGGAAAAAAGCTGTTATCTACATTGATTAATTATAATATTCCCAATATTTTAAAGCTCTTCGAAGCTGTAACGTAAGGCGATTCCCGAATAAGCATTTCATCCTAACGCTGGAAGCGACTGACTCTAGACTTTTGGAATATTCACCAATCACATGTCATCTTTTCTTTAATGATGTCAAATAATCTCGTATTTTGTGACTTTTAATATCTTTGAATGTTTACTTTCGTTATTGGTATTATGAGTTTTTGCTTTTAATAATATGTTTCTTACATTTGCTTGACCATGCAGTGTTCTAAAGAGGAACAAGATCGACACTATTGGAGAGAAAGCATTTACTGACCTTACAGTGTTAAAAGTATTGTAAGTAGACCAAGGAAATTGTGTTTGACATTAGGTGTTCTTACTATCTTTGGAACTTAACTTCACGGATCTATATATTAACTGTATAATAAACACATTATGAAAATATGAAATTCTATTAGTAAAAAGATTCAAATAAGGAGCTGAAATAGCTTAATACCTGATTTAAAAATATTCTCAATTTGCGGTATTCGTGAGGCTTGAAAAATCTACTTAATTAAACACTCATCTGTAAGTGTTTTCTGTAACCTAACTTTTGACATAGTAATATTTTTATTTCTAGCTTCAGTAAATAGTTTATCAGTTTTAACCCAATTATTTTTTATGCTTTTATTTGAAAGACTAAATTATAGTTTTGGTTATGATAGAACATCTTGTAAAGCTAAGACTATTTTAACGAAATTGCCGATTGATTTAGAGAGATCGACGGGAACAAATTGAAGAAACTACCAAGTGGATTGGCCACTCTTCACACTTTGAGAGAACTGTAAGTACTACACATATTCAGAACTTCCTAAAAAAGAATAAATTAACATTATTTTTATATTGTAATTTATTAACCCATTGTTAAATAATGAAAAAATAGATATCTTCTATAATTCAAAGAGCGATTTCAGTTCCTTCAGTATCTGTAAGTTTTAAGTCATTTTTTGACAGCTTCTATCAATGTCTTCTGAACTATTTAAGTAACACGAGATAGTTGTACTAAAATAACGCACATCTCTGATTATTGTATGTATCTTACTATATTCCTTTACAAACGTAGTGTCTCATACAGTCATTTTGATATTTGTCTTTAGTACTTTCGCAAACAACGATATAAAACATTTACCAGATTTTGCCTTCAAGTCCAATTCTCAGCTGACCCTGCTAGAAATGGGAGGAAATCCATTGACTGAAATAGGTCGTTACACTTTTTCCAGCCTCCCCAACCTAAAGGAGCTGTAAGAAGTTGTTTTTATTCTCTCTCTCTCTCTATATATATTCATCTGTGTTACAACGTTTAACATTATTTTCACCGTAAGCTCAAAGGTAAGTTACCTCTTACTGCAATAAATAGGTCGTTATACTTTTTCCAGCCTCCCCAACCTAAAGAAGCTGTAAGAAGTTGTTTTTTATTATTTCTCTCTATATATATATTCAACTGTGTTACAACGTTTAACATTATTTTCACCGTAAGCTCAAAGGTAAGTTACCTCTTACTGCAATAAATCTAGGGGAGCTGTTTACCTCTCTTTAAGTTAAATTTATCACCTAACAGCAGGAAGCAAACATGTAACATGGCCACCTTGGTACCGCCGTTTCTAGCTGCATAAACTCTCACTGATGTATGTAGGCGAAAGGTACGAAATGCTATTTATTGTAACTTCATACAACTTTAGTTGTACGTTTTGATTTATGTTTAATTCTTATTTCATAAGTTTAAAATAAAAAACTCTGATATTAAGCTCTCTTGTGTAACACGCGACTGATATTTTTACAGCATTCTTTCTGACGTACGGAATTTAGAGGAGTTTCCAGATCTAACAGAAACGAACGCGTTAGAGCACTTACGTTTAGATCGAGCTTTACTGCACACTGTTCCTCCAAACTTCTGCCACCAGGTGCCACTGCTTAAAAGTCTGTGAGTGTGAACGTTGATTACGTTAATAGTCATTCATGACATTATGTAAATTAACAGATCCTTTATTATAATGTGCTTAAAAAATCACTTAGGTATTGAATGTCTGCTATCCATACAATAATTACATATAATAATTTAAACAAAATAAACAATATTTATGACAGAGTTTGTTAGCTTATCAGTTTTATTTTGATGTGAGTTCGTCCGGGTGCCTTTGCAACACCATCTGTAAATTGTTAAAACTAGATAATCCTTTAGAACATTTGGCTTAGTACTGGGTAAATATAACTTATAAGCTTTAATATGAGATAATAATATCTCATTTTGTTCATAAAAAGCTAATTAGAACATTTGGCTTAGTACTGGGTAAATATAACTTATAAGCTTTAATATGAGATAATAATATCTCATTTTGTTCATAAAAAGCTAATTAGAACATTTGGCTTAGTACTAGGTAAATATAACTTATAAGCTTTAATATGAGATAATAATATCTCATTTTGTTCATAAAAAGCTAATTAGCTTATATCTAGGTTTTAAATTAATAATATGTCTATTATAACGTTCTAATAATTGTGTTGTTACAAAATTTTATTCAATTTTCGAAAAACTATTATGTTAGTACTAGTACTAACTATTCTTTTCAAACTCTTGTGTGCTTATATTACATAATTTTATTCACATACTAAAGACTTCTCATTGATCATTCAGATGATATCCATGGTGTATATTTCATGCTTACAATTTTTCTTTTCGATATTTCCTTCCAGAAATTTCTTTTTGTATATCATTTAGTGTGGGGAGGGGAAAAAGATAAATTAAATACTTTTTTCAAGGAAAAATGGCTTAGTATTACGTTCAAAATATCACAATTTTATCACTGCTTATGTACTGAAAGACCAGTATACTTGTTTCTTTTTTCATGTTCTTCTTATTGTTTCCCACTACTTTGTACTTTGCTACAGAAACTTGAAATCAAATCGTCTGTCATCAATACCACAGTTAGAGGAATGCGAGGAACTTCGTTTGATGTAAGTAGTTACAGAATAAAACATAAATATAATCTCGTTGTAAAAGTTTATAACGCTATTATTTGAATCGGCAACTTGAAAAAAAAATGACAAGAAAATCCATTATCATGATACAAGAATTACTGTTTATTTATACATACTACTTTATAAAAATTCAATACGTCAATGTTCAATAATTTAGGTAGGGAAAAAATTTGGATGCAATATCTAATAATATACGAGAAATGAGTATTTTAAAAAGTTTAAAGTTTTTTGAAACTATCCGCTAAATTTATGATTTATTTAGTTATTTTATACTTAATATAAAAATATCATGATACTATTGTCAGTTAATGGTATCAAATATATTATATGCTGTAGTTTTTTAAAACTATCTGCTAAATTTATGATTTATTTAGTTATTTTATACTTAATATAAAAAATATCATGATAATATTGTCAGTTAATGGTATCAAATATATTATATGCTGTAGGTTTTTTTACGTATATATATATGTTTTCTTTTTTAATTATTCATACATCTTTAATGCTAGAGGGATACGTTTTTTTATAAACGTTTTTTTTTTTGCTTTTTTGTGTTTCGTTTTCATGTAGTAGATTGATTGCAGTTAGAATTTATTACTTATTTAAAACACATTATATTATCTAGTATTTGAATAAAATTGAATTAAATTATGGCTGAATATTATTAAACTAGAATTTATGGTCCTAAAGTCCATAAATACAAACTAGTCATTTTTAAATATGTGGCAACCTTGTCCATTTATTCTGTAAAGTCGGGTTAACCTGTTAATGTTATAATTCTGTGAAAATAATGACGAAATGAAATATCTTTTACTGCACAATGTGGAGGCCGAGTGTGGTCTACGGGTTAAAAAGCCGGAATATGAACCCATCACGCTGATGCAAAATCGCGTTTTACAACTTGGGCCATGGGTGCGTTTTGATTAAAGAAACCCAGCAGTTGGCGGTGGATGCTGTTAACTGGTTGTTCTTACTTCTTATTTATCAGATCAAATTAGGGATGGCAAGCCTTTGTATAGCTTTGGGCAAATACAAGAAAAAAAACACTAAACGTAAGTAAACAGTACGTGGGTTTTTCTGAAAGCGGTTTTCTTCTTCAGGAAAAATGAAGTAGATCCTGTATATGGGAGCATTTCTAACTCTATTGACTGGTCACAGAAATAACTAGTGAATTCTCTAAAAGCATCAATACAATAAATATGTTTGTGAAATATATATATACTTTCTGGGTAATTTATTATTAGGTGAGTGAATTTATTAACATTCAAGCATTTCTGTGGACTTTCTACTTTACTTCCTTATGAACCAATACATTAAAAGCTTAAACTTTGTTTAACTTGTCCAGTTGTATTTGATATCGCTAGCAACCTTTCCCTTTGAAACAAGTGGAATCTTATGTGTGTCTCTTTCCATTCCATGTTGCTAACGGGTATTCACGTTTCTCTTACAGAGACTTCAGTTACAATAGGATAAGATTACTGGAGAACGCTCCTTTTCAGAAACAGAAGAAATTAATTGATTTGTTTCTGGGCGATAATCTGATAGAAATTATCCCTGCTGATGCTTTTCGTGGACTGAGTGTCCTACAAGTTTTGTAAGTTTATTAAGTTCCTGGATTACGATTAAAAAAAAACAATGTCTCATTTTTAGTCATATAAAATATAGTTTAAAATGTTAATTGTTTTCTATACAAGTTTATTAATATTTCGATGAACTTTGTGTAAAGATTTGTGGGCGTCTCTCAGTACAAGAGATCCATTTATTAACTAACAGAGTTCTGATGTTTTTTTTAAATCTCAGAATAATTATACAAAACTATTGGAAATAAAGAATTTCAGGCCGATACTGGAAGGTATCTTACCCACAACGGTCAGCTGACTTTGAAGACAATCGCTGTGTTGTACCTCTGAATCTGTGGATTTCTGTATATAATAATAATATATATGCTTTTTATATAATTGTAGTTTGTTACTTATGGTGAAAATAAAATTATTTGTTATCATATATGCTATATATATATAGCTGTTAGCACATGTTTTGTATGCACAATATCCTTAATATATTTTGTTTGTATAGTTGTTCTGTAGAACAAATAGGAGCAACAGATATTTTGCTAGAAAATATAATCAGAAACGTCTACCTGAAACAACCTTCTGAAAAAAAAAATATATATATATAAAACAATGTTTTTCAGGGTGCATGTCTACAAGCAATTTCAGTTGTGTAGTGTGTAATATTTCAATACTTTATTATAGTTCGGACAATCTTCGGTTGATTAATAAACTGTTAAATTTTCATTGTATGAAACAGCATAAATCTTATTCTTACAAAAAGAATATTTATCTATAAAAATAAATTTAATTCCTTATATTTTGCAGAAGTCTTGCCAACAACAGGATAGAAGAGATTCACCCTGACACCTTTGTTTCTGTTCCTCGGTTAAGGGATCTGTATGTTCGGATTTTATAAATCTCGTTTTCTCTTTTATAAAAAAGCTGATTAGATGTGTTTGTTTTAGATTGTTAAACGAAAGTACTAGCACCTGAATTCGAATATAATAATTATTAGCACTTACATAAAGAAGCAGCTTGGATATATTTTTCCTACGTTATGTCATATCGGGTTTTTACATTTTTATCTGGTGGCTAAAGGTCCGAATTGGCGCCTTTTACTTACTTGATGACGATGTAATCGAAATTTTCACATATTGTACTCAACTAAGTTACCCTTTCCGCATGATTTCTTTCTCACCTACTGGTCTAAATAAACGTGCAAGTTTTTAAGTACCTCTGAAGCTCTAAGCACTTGAAATGTTTTGTGTATTGTTCCAAGATGCTTTGTTTTGTTAAATTTCCAACGTTACCAGTATCCTGAGTTTGTTTATTAGCTTCCAGTTTTACTTTTTGTGTTTAGAATCGAAAGTGTTTAAACGGCTTCAAACACAACAGAGAAACAGAGTTTCTGTTCGATTAACAATGAATCTTATTTTGTCAGTAATCAATGGAATAACTTACTGATAGAGATGCCCCCCAGTGGCACAGCGGTATGTCTGCGGACTTACAACGCTAGAATCCGGGTTTCGATACCCGTGGTGGGCAGAGCACAGATAGCCCATTGTGTAGCTTTGTGCTTAATTACAAACAAACTGATAGAGATATTTAGAAGTCATAAATACTGTCTAAAGTGTTTTATGCTGTCTAATGTTTTTAATACGTGTTTATGTTACTGCGAAAACACTAAAACTCAAAAGGTAATTATTTTAAACGTCAGTTTCCATCATTAGATTACTTGCCAAAAGTACAACAATCATTTTAAACAAGCAAGAAACATCAATAGCGTCTGACCTAGAAATCACTTGAACACACATGCAATCTATATTAACTGCAGAAGAAGCAAACTTCTCTAAAAACACCGTCTACTCTACTGAAATAACACAACCAGAAACACAAGTCTGGTTTGTGTTTCACATGACAGTCAGCCTTGAACGTGTTTTCTCATTTGAACGTAGTTCTTAGACATGAAAACGTGTTGAATTTCTACATTTTGAAATATTTTCAAATTGTAATCGTATTAATTAACAAAGTCGTGTTTTTTATACCGTATGAACATATTTGGTCAATATTTTAATAACATAATAAAACACTTTTCCTTCACCTACTATTTAATAATGCCTTTGTTGGCTTACCACGTATGTACTATAGGTTTATACACGGCACCAGCGTATTTGAGTTTCCAAGAATATCACGAAACTTAGATTAGCAGTATGAGGTTGCTAAGCAATAGCCATACCCCTGACAAATGTGCCATGTCTTAGTCAGATAGAGCTGATGTGTCCGGGTCTTATTGAAGAGGATAAAGCTGTCAAGTGGATAAAAACCAACAAGTTTTCATTCTATATTAAAAGAGTTAATTTTCTAAGGAATCTTGAAGTAACGCATGTCATAAGTCGACAAGAATACGATGAAACTAAATACATTTATCATAAGTAGACAAGAATACGATGAAACTAAATACCTTTATCATAAGTCGACAAGAATACGATGAAACTAAATACCTTTATCATAAGTCAACAAGAAAAGGATGAGACTAAATACCTTTATCATAAGTCGACAAGAATACGATGAAACTAAATACGTTTATCATAAGTCGACAAGAAGAGGATGAGACTAAATACCTTTATCATAAGTCGACAAGAATAAGATGAAACTAAATACCTTTATCATTAGTCGACAAAAGAGGATGAGACTAAATTTCTTTATCATAAGTCGACAAGAATACGATGAGACTAAATACCTTTATCATAAGTCGACAAAAGAGGATGAGACTAAATACCTTTATCATAAGTCGACAAGAAAAGATGAAACTAAATACCTTTATCATAAGTCGAAAAAAGAGGATGAGACTAAATACCTTTATCATAAGTCGACAAGAATACGATGAGACTAAATACCTTTATCATAAGTCGACAAGAAGAGGAAGAGACTAAATACCTTTATCATAAGTCGACAAGAAGATGATGAAACTAAATACCTTATTTGTTTTAATTTAAAATAGTAAAAAACTAATTACTGAAATTACTGAAAAAACAAATTATCACCAGTATTAAAGACATTCTTGATTCCAGGGGTTGGGAGAAATTCATGGATTAAAATAATTACTTTAGTTTATAATTACTTTATCTTTTTTAGTTTTATGAGTAAATAAATAGAGATGACAGAGAGAACTATAAAAGGAAAACGAAACGCTAACTACACGTAGCAAGAAAAGAAATCAAATGATGCCAAGGTGTGGAAACAAAAACCGAACTTAATACAATTATAAATAGAAAAATTAAGAAATTAATAATATAGTGTTGTAATTATTTGATGAAGAAGTTGCTAATTAGTAAAACAATTGTTTGCCGATTGTTCTACACACTCTTACACCCTAGGTGCTATTTAAAATGTTTTATTTATGTTTAATATTAGATTTTATAACACTTCGTTAAAAATTAACTTTAAAAATTGCTGACATATAAAGGATGATATCACTATTTTGTACTTTCTTTTATAATAGTAAAATTAGGTTCAACAACCTGCTTCGACAAAGTGCCGCAGGTGAATGAACCTACGTGAATCTTTACCCACCATCTGCAACCTCTTTAAAAAAAAAAACGATATCTTGGTTATTAACTCAAAACAAGTGTTTTATCATAATTTCTGTTTTCATAATATAGCTTTTGTTGTATTTACTAATTCATCAGTGGTGTTGTTTTAAACCCGTGACGACAACATTAACATCGATCTAAATGTTTTATCTTCCTTGCTAGAAACCTAGGGAACAACCAGTTTCCTACGCTTCCGACAAAGGGTTTACAAAATATTCGTCAGCTCAAGACGTTTAACAATCCGAACCTGAAAGACTTCCCCTCTCCAGAATCATTTCCTCGTGTTCACACTTTAGCTCTTTCCTACTCATACCACTGCTGTGCATTTTTGTCAGTGACTCGCCAGACGCCAGGGAAGCCTGTCAACCTGCAGGAGACTATTGTGTGGCTGACAAAAGATGACGTCGATATGAGTACGTGGAGTACGAACGTCACGGATGTATGGCCAGGCTATGGTAAGAGCGACACTCATCGGAAACCCTGATCTTTGTATAAATCTTAGTTTTAGTTTTTAATATATTTTTCTTCATATTTTTCTAAAGAATGAAACTTTCTTTTTTTTTATCACAATGATCGATAGCAAAGAAAAACAAAGAATTTATTATACCAATAAGATTCAGTAAACGTGACGTTCATAATGCAAATTGGCTAAATATATATAATTATTACCATCTGGAAACAGACTACTACAAAAAACAAAAGCTTGATTAAAAAAGTCCGACACCGTTTTTTTTTCCCGAGATGTTAATAACAAACGATTGACAAACTAAACCGTTTGGAAAGTTCTGAGTTATTTATAAATTAAAAGCATTAAATAGACAATTGGTGTCACTGTCGGGTGTATAACTCATTGAGGGGTGGGACAAAAAGAGTACTCTCAATATTCTGAAAAGTGTACTATCTTCTGGATTCAATGTCTAGTGATCATCTTACTGAACTGAATAATTACCCTAAAAGTACAATAACAGCAACTTTTACAGTATGAAAGTACTGATTTTAATAATTAGAACGTTTCGACCCATATTATCGAAATATCATTAGGTAAGACTTACACTCAATGTGTACCATACATGGTGATCACTCTATAATTGCCTACTGTAAGAGTTGCTGTTTTTCAATAAATACTTAGTTCTCTAAAGTTTTGAATACTTTCATTCTGTAAGTTTCATTTAAGCTAGGATAATTAACTTTTTTCTTGGTGAAGAAAGGTTCCTATTTTTTGTTAGAAAAAAATCACCCTTTCTCTCTATAATACTTACTGTCACCATCACCGCCCACCCTCTGAATTCCTAACTTATAATAGAGAAACCAGAACGAAAATTAAAATTAAAAGCAGTTTATTAACCAATCAATTAATAAAATATTTTCTTTTCTGTATTTGCTCTTATGATCTATTCGGGATAGGAGTAACTGCACTAAACAAATTATTAAAAAATTACTCGTATAAGAAAACTATTCCTTACTGATGTGTTTCCTAAAGAAGATTTTCGTATAAGAGTTGAAAAATTTGTAAGAACAAACCTCTCTAACGTTAGTATTATACATAGTTACTTCTTTATTTGATAGATAATTTTTCATCAAAATTTGAAGAGTTTGCTGTTCAGTTTTGGAAATCTTTTGGGAGAGACTATGCGATTCCCGATAATTTGGCTCAATATGCAGAGGAATATTTTGAAGATTACAAATCGTTCTATAACAGTGAAGATACGCTCCTGGCTCATTATCCAATCAAGTGTATACCACAGCCAGGTTAGTGAGATACCGTTAATATAATTACGTGATACTTTTATTCATACTGGGCCTAAATAAGATATCTGTTACTGTTATAGCTACGTGATACTTATACTCAAACTAAACACCAATTTCATGGTTAAATAATAAGTTCCACCCATACATCATAATTTATGTATATCTCGGATAGCTATGTAGAATAACTCTGTTGTAGTTACACTTGATGTTTATTTCTAATCAGGATACTATTTGTCTTAGTTTCACCTAGAATAACTCTGCTGTAGTTACACTTGATGTTTGTATTTAATCAGGATACTATTTGTCTTAGTTTCACCTAGAATAACTCTGCTGTAGTTACACTTGATGTTTGTATTTAATCAGGATACGATTTGTCTTAGTTTCATCTAGAGTAACTCTGTTGTAGTTACACTTGATGTTTATTTCTAATCAGGATACTATTTGTCTTAGTGTCACTTAGAATAACTCTGTTGTAGTTACACTTGATGTTTGTATTTAATCAGGATACTATTTGTCTTAGTTTCATCTAGAATAACTCTGTTGTAGTTACACTTGATGTTTGTATTTAATCAGGATACTATTTGTCTTAGGTTCATCTAGAATAACTCTGTTGTAGTAACACTTGATGTTTGTTTCTAATCAGAATATTATTTGTCTTAGTATCACTCGAATAACTTTGTTGTAGTTACACTTGATGTTTGTTTCTAATCAGGATATTATTTATCTTAGTTTCACCTAGAATAACTCTGTTGTAGTTACGCTTGATGTTTGTCTTTAATCAGGATACTATTTGTCTTAGTTTCACCTCGACTCTGTCTTTGCGTTAATTCAACTCACTGCTTACTGAAGCTTTCTAAATAGGTTATTATTGTAACGAATCCTCGTGAGATTTGCTTAGGTGCTTGTTACTATTATAATTAGGATCTAATACTATCTCTGTATAATTAGGATCTAATACCCTCTGTGTATCCCAACTAAATAGCCAGAATGATGATATCAGTATTATACTTGAAATCAGCTTCTTTGTGATTTGCATAAGTTTCGTAAACCAGAACGCCACGGAACGGCGTGTTCATTATGATATTACAAACTGTAGCCATGTGTTGGTTGTATCATGTTTCTGTAATTTATGGACAATTGTAATTATAAACAAATGGTACTAATATATTCAAATTGTATAGACCAGCACTAACAAGTTAAAATCTTCAACAAAAAGCTGTGATTATTTTCCTGTTCATCTCAGATCCGTTTCTTCCCTGCGACGATTTGTTTGGCTGGTGGACGCTACGCTGTGGAATATGGATTGTGTTCCTTCTCGCCATGCTTGGGAACGGAGTAGTGGTGGTGGTTTTAATGTTTGGGCGGAGCATCATGGATGTTCCAAGATTTCTCGTCTGTAATCTTGCCATAGCAGACTTTTTTATGGGAATTTATCTTGGGATTCTAGCAGTAGTGGATGCTTCCACATTAGGAGAATTTCAAGTAAGTTAATTTTATGTAAAAATGAAATATTACTATGTTTAATTATTTTCAATATGGAATAAAAAACAACAACAAAAACGATTTTTATCAAAACGAGAAGAGAATCACAACAAACATAACATAGCTGAACTGTGCCTAAAGGAAAGTAGTATGGGCACTTCAGAACTATGGAGAAGTAACAACAGTAACGATCTAGGCGGTTTCTTATGTACAATCGACACTCTACCTCCTTTGTTGTTATGTTTTAGATTTTCTAAACGTGTACCTTTTCTCAGCGCCCTCTTGGTGAAGCTTCCACATCGAAAGAACGAGCTGATTCACGAAAACAAGAAAGATAAAGGAGTAAAGCCATTACAGACACATAATAGTTTTAAGATATCATATGTCACTCCTGTATCCTGTATGTTCCTGTAGCTGTTCATGAATAAACTGCTTCCTATAGCTACGATCTAATAGTATTTATATGTAATCAATTATATTAAAGAAATAATAACATATCACATATAGTTTATTCATTTGTACTTATTAAATATTGCTGTTTTATAGATATTTACCATTTATAGTATCTCACAAGTTGTTTGTCTCCAGGTGGGTCAGAATAACTTTTGGACTTACAATGCTAAAATTCGGTATTCGATTCCTCACGGTAGCTAGAGGGCAGAAAGCCAATAATCCATAAACTTATTGCTGACCCACATAGGGGAACAGTTATATTCAGATGAGTTAAAGAATCTTACACATTTACGCTTATATCACACAACTAAAAGGAGTGACAAATCATTTGTGACATCTCAGTTCATAGAAAAATATATTAAACTTTACTTTCTTACACAGCCTATAATTTGTGAGATACACTTGGAATGCTAATAATGGAAATTTTATACATGAGTTATAACACAACTAGATATTACAGTAGTACAAAAAAGATAATACTACCGGAGTTTTCACCTTAAAATAATATTTGAAATGTATTTAGCGAGTACATTTTAAGAGTATATCGTCAATCTATATTCTAACCCTAAGATATTCTAATGGTTTGACTTAATATTTGGTCTTCCTTTTAGGTGTACGGAATTTCGTGGCAAGGATCGGCAGGTTGTCAGATAGCGGGATTTCTGGGGGTCCTCAGCAGTGAACTGTCCGTTTACACCTTGTCAGTGATCACTTTAGAGAGGAACTACGCCATAACTCACGCCATGTACGTGAACAAACGCCTGTCTTTAAAGCATGCTGCATACATTATGGCTGCTGGCTGGACATTTGCTTTAATTATGGCAATAATGCCTCTCTGTGGTGTAAGTAACTACAAAAAATTTGCTGTTTGTTTGCCTTTTGAGACAGAATCAAAAGTGTCTCTCGGATATGTCGTATTTCTCATCCTTATAAATGGAATCGCTTTTGTCATCTTAATGGGCTGTTACCTGAAGATGTATTGTGCTATTAGAGGATCACAAGCCTGGAATTCCAACGATTCACGAATTGCAAAGAGAATGGCTCTTCTTGTCTTTACCGACTTTGTTTGCTGGTCTCCCATAGCATTCTTTTCACTAACAGCAGTCTTTGGGCTTCACTTGATTTCGCTGGAAGAAGCTAAAGTATTTACAATATTTGTCCTTCCTCTAAATAGTTGTGCCAATCCGTTCCTGTACGCCATTTTTACTAAACAGTTTAAGAAAGACTGTGTGCTTATTTGTAAAAGAATAGAAGAATCAAGGGTTACTCGTGGAATTGGAAGGTGTCGCCACAGTTCCAATTTCTCTAATCGTCATACACCTGCTAATACAAACTCGGCTGCTGACCGTAAAAGTGCTGATAGTGACCAACCAACATGTCAGTGTGGTCAACACAAGGTCGTCGATGAACCAAAACAAACGGAATACAGAAGTCGTTGGAAAGCATTTGCGATGAGGTACTTTCTTTGTCAAGAACCGGAGGTACAAAACGATACGAATACATATACGTTCGCAATCGCACAGATACAAAAAAATATAGAACGGACCACAAAAAGAGGTGCTAGTGTATCCAGTGACAATTTTTCATCTCGTTCAGATAGTTGGCGTCAGACTAATATTCCACTGCGACTTTTGGAACGTGGTGCAAGACGAAACTCATATAATTTTACCCGTAAGAATTCTCAAGATTCCAACATGTCTTGTAGTAGGCAGGATTCTTCAACTTCTACGTTTCGCATGTCTCGTTCAAGTATAAGTAGTGATAGATCTGATTCTCATCTCGTTAGGCCAGGACTCGCAAGGCTTAGAGATCGAAATCTTTTTGGTCCTGTGGTAATTGAACAAAGTCACGGAACTCGGCCATTTTCAAATGTTCTTGAAAGGTCATTTGTGAATGGAGAAACCAGATTCATACGAGGAATGGTTGGTGCAGCAAAAGAAAATCCGAAATTATGTCGTCAGATTGCAGTTGACGACACCTGTGTTCCACGTGTGCTTGGAAAAAGATATGACTTTAGGTCTCTTCAAAAGTCGCCACCAGTTGGACCTACAGTTTCTGAAGGACTATGTCCTAGTTGTGCTAAAAAAGATCCTAGTTCTTCTTTGAAATTTAAGAATAAAGAACTAGAAGATAAGTTCAACTGCTTTTATAACAGACTAGCAGAAACCAGCCACGAGGATAGTAGTGAAGTATTGACGTCAAAAGAAGATCAGGTGTTGTTATCTAGTGACCAATCCACTGGCGACCAGAAAGTGGACTCGTCAAACACCCATGACACTTCAATCCCCGACTCTTCCGCTCAACATGCTGAGATCACCATAAACCCCCATATTGCAATCGAAGGAAATGTTTCACAAGACAGAGAAAAGGAATGTTTAGAAGATAAAGTAAACAACTGGCTAAGGACGTCTGCCACCGATGTAATGGGAGGAAGTGAAGGGAAGTTACAAGTCAGTGTAGAAAGCTCTCTCAACGCTAACCACCTTTGTGTGAGTGCTGACTGTATTCAAAATCCCAAGTCCCAAAGTATGACTTACATTGGATCTGATAGTAAATTAAATTTAGGTCGAAAAGTTGCATCCGACAATTCACTGAAAAAACTTTCATTGAAAAGCCTACCTAGCTTGTTAAGGTCTCTGTCTAGCCAAAGCACACAAAAATTGCAGCGCCTAAAAGTTAGAAGTCAATGTCAATTAAGGCCAAAATCCAAAGGGTACCTGTCGTGTTCAGAAAGTCAAACAACAATAAAAAAATATTCTGATGATATTATCTGTGAAAGGGCGTCACCAGTGTCACCAAGTTCGTTTAAGAAATTAAAAACAGAAGAAGAATGTGAATCAGATTCTGACATCGAAGATGTTTTCATTGAAATTAAATGTCACCCTGCTGATTCGAATTATGGTAAAAGTCCCGAGAATGAGCATTTTACACCAACTGATATGAAAGAAATGCCCGAACAATCTACTATACAAACCATGCTCAGCATTAACGAAGAAGTACCTTTGATCGAACAGGATCTCCAAAATATGAGACAGAGTTCTGAATAATTACAAATAAGTTTTTATTTAGATTTGAATGGGGATCTTTTGGTTTGTTCAAGTCCTTGTTGAATTTTAAATGAAAACATTGTGATGAAATAGAGTGAGTACATAACTTTCAATGTTGAACTGATAATAGAACCAGTTCGTAGAATTTAATGAGGAAAGTTAGCTCCTCGCTGTGTTCTGCATGAGAATTGAATAATTCAGCTAACTTCCCATTAGGTCTAAAGGAAGATCCAGAGTTACACCGGTCATCTGTTGAGTACTAACTGAAGAATCTGGTGCCACAACTGAGTTCCAGTCGGGTTTCTAAAGCCTGTATCTCGATTGTTAGTTGTCAGTATATCAAATCGCCTCAAATCTGTCATTAAAATCGGAGCTTCATGTTCTGGTTGTATACCTAGCTGCTAAAGCTGAGTATTGGTGAGATCTAATTAGAGATGTGGGTGCTAAAGCTGCTGAGTTTTAATAAGTTATAAATTACGAGCTAATGCATATACAGGTCCTTGTTGAAAACTGTGATATGTAAAAAATGTGTGTTTTTGTGTACAATATAGATGATGATATGTTAACGTGAATAATTAATATATACTTTAAAAAAACATTTTTATTTATCGTATGTAATGTGTAGAACATATTTCTTTTGTTTGCCTTGTTGGCCGCTTACAAGCACAAAGCTGTAGTAGTTAGATAGTTTCAGATTGTTCATGTATAATTGAAACTCATGCATTTCTGTCATTTTCAACAAAGCCTGATACAAAGTATAAATCCTCTTGGTAGTATATCCCACTTTTTTCTCACAAACTTTACAGCAAGTTGTGTACAAATGAGCATGTCCTTCTAAAAACATGCAACAATGAGAACTCATAATGCTCGCACAACAATGCTTTATAACAAATGTACTTAGTTATTTGAATCTTAACACTACTTACCTTGTATCCTAATTTTTAGTACAATTTAGTTGCATGACACAAGGAGACATTTAAGTCGTTTTTACATTATCATAACATGCAGTAGAGTAATGATTAATTATAAAAGCTTAAACGTGTTGTTAAACAAATGTTGTCTGTGTTTTAACGTGATTGTTAGATGTTCTTGTCATTGTCATTTTTTTGACTTTTTAATGTATGAACATTTTTAACGGATTTGTAATCTTGAAGGCCCCCGATTTAACATAAGTTCTCGAATTCAGCGGTAACTCAAAAATTTAACTGTAAAGCCTTTCAAAATATTAATAAGGAATAAAATATATGACATAATGCATTATGTATGAGCTTAAGATTTTGTGATAAACTAGTACTTCTGGTTATATAGTTCTTAACAGAACAATTTTTCCCTAATAATAACACGGAGAACATTTTCCCACTTGAACTGAGATTAAGTTTAAGTGAAGTTTCTTCGTGATTCATCTAGTTTGTTAAGTGTCCTCCCATTTAGTTTGCTAACATCTAGTTTCGTCCTCCCAAAATGCTGACCGTCTGGCTGGGACGTAAAGAGTACTTTCTAGAAGGGATATATGTCTGGAAAAGTAAAAAAAAACAAAAAAAACACGAAATCCATGTTGATATATGTCTGGAAAAGTAAAAAAACAAACAAAAAAACAACAACACGAAATCCATGTTAAACATGACCAGTGTGCTTTGATACAAAATTAATATACGTTTGTCACGTGACAACAAATTAACTTTTGAAACTGTTTAAGTTGTGGTCTTAATCTGTTTATTAGAATACTTTCTTTTATGCACAAAGTTTCTGCCGCTCTTCCTTGGGAGAACCTTAACTGTGCTACGTCACAATCGTTGAGAACGAGACTATATTTGGTCAAAAATTGAACCACTATATCTAGGGCATTTATGTTCATTTACTACATTATATGTTGTAAACAGCGCTATTTTATTTTGGAACATACACTAAAACATTGTACAGCTCAAACTGTGCACAAAATTCTTAATCGGCATTGTGAATTCTTTCAACCCGCTTGTCTTTCAGTAAAACAACTATGGACGCGATTATGTCATCCTAGTTTTCTGAAAGCAACAAAAGATTGGTTAGAACTCAAAATATTTTCATTATTTTATTCAGGCACTTTGAAACCATACAAAGTCGAAGTATTTAACCTTAATATTATTTATTTCTTTTATATCGTTCCCCACCGTTGTGATACTCATATTGCACCATACTGATTACTTTTATGCTTCTGCTTGTCACAGCACTCGGAGTAAAAATCTGACCTAAAATAGATTGAAATATGTTATTTTCTATATAAAATACACACGAAACCTCAGCAGTAAAAAGTGGGATTAACTGAAATGTATTGATGATACTTTCGTTTAAAGTTTGTTCTTTATGTGACTCATATGTTATTAGGGATCCTATAATAAACAAAGCAATAGATGCACAAGAAAGTTGGCCAATGAATAATTTAGAAAAAGTGTTTAAACATCCGATGGAACACCAGTGCCTATATTCTGGTTTAATTCGCAATCCATTGTGCTGAATTATGTGTAACTACCAATTTTTTGTTCACTATGCGCAGCTACTAATTTTTTCACTATGCGCAGCTACCAATGTTTTTCACTACGCCGCACTAGAAGGTCACTCTGGTGTTATTATTGTTTTTCTAGTTTCTAAACTGTTATAAAGTTTACTTTTTTGTTTCAACAGATGAAATAGACCAGTTTCGTACTTTTTAGTTTCTAGGAGCCCCTAAACACATCTCAATTCTTGTAAATTCAGTTTTATACTATATAAAAGGTTCTGTGTAAAAATAATAACACATGTATTTAAAAAATATATCTCCTCAAAATATTTGTTTCACCTACAATAAGTTATATATAAACGACAGATCAAAATTATGTTAAGATGTTTTTATTTTATCTTATACGTTTGTAAGTTATACATATGGGATGCATTTCTCAAATTTTATCATCATTTGAAAATTTAGTGTTTTAGTTGATGACATTATCTGTGTTTCGTAAAACGTTATTATTATGAAAGATAAACAGAACCGTTACATAAGCCTTAATTTTCATTATCTATTTTCATAAAATGCAGATCATATATCTTTTTCTATGACTTTCACTTGTTTGATTGGAACTTCATTTTCCAAGTAACTGATCAAAGATAGCCTGCTAGCGATTTATTTCATACTATAGTCAATTCTTATAAGCGAAAAAAGAAACACAAGGATGTCCGAATATTTATTGTCTCACCCATCTAAATGGTTTGTGATAAGTTGTACTTTGTAAAACATGAAGAATATTAAACATTAATCAAAAAATTAAATTTGTTTATCTTGAAGTCTGTTTATTATTAAGCATATTAAAACATTATTTGAAATTCCAATCTCTGGCATTACACTCTTGATTAGAGCGTTCAACGAATCACAAAATTCCACTATGTTCGATAACACATTGTTTAACATAAAATGCTGTAGCAGTAAAAGTAAACTTAATTTCAGTATTATATTGTTGAAAATATAGTTTTATACGAAACACCTTACAAAACGCTACGTTTTCCGTGTCTCGACAATACATTTTACAGGAGTTTTTCGATGTGCTTATTTTCGTTTTGGTTTAAATTACTCTGTCCCATTAGAACATGTGATTTTTATGAGGCTGTTAAGTCACAATATTGGGAAGAAAATATACACATACATATTTATGTTCACTGTAACAGCCAACAGCAATTCCTGTTTCAGAATTCGTATGTGGTTACAATACGTTAGATTGAAGACGTTCAAACCGTAGCTGTATATATAAATAGAGTTTCAGATAGTTCTGTCTCTCATCGTCCAAGCACAGCTAATGAGTCCAAGTGTTGAATGAAAGGTCTCCTGGGCACTGACATGTGACACAGAAAATGATAGCGGTGAAATACTATTTTTACACATCCTTATAAGAAATCAGTAATGGATAAGTTAAGACGCATGTTGAAGAAATTCTTAGATCTAACGTGTTTCTAATCACAAAACTGAGCTTACAGGTTTCAAATGATTTGCCAGCTTTCACCATTCAAAATCGTACATTTAGAATATGATCATGTTTTTATTATCTCGTCACATGTCCTCATATTATCGATCTTGTGTGTCAAATGTAATTCTTGATAGTTTTTTCAATGATAGAAAACGTGTTTATTGTGCTGTATATTTACAATATTTAATTAATAGATAAAAGTGCTTATTGTAGTCCGTAGAAAGCTTGATATTATCAATTATTTTTTGCCATTCTTTTGTTTTTCATTCATTCGGTCCTGAAGTATCGAAAAGTACAATATAACCTTTTGAAGAGTTATTCCCAATCTCTTTATATTAATAATTGCAAACATTTAATTTTTCCCCCGTTTCTGCTGCCGCTGAGAAAGCTACACGGTAAAAAAAAAAACTCGAGACGACCTGTATTCTTCCCTAGCGTGTTTCTTACTGTTCTTATCTGCTTATATACAGATAATTTAAAATTTTCTTACATTAATATTAAATATGGATTAATAAAATCGTTAAATGACTTACGTCTGTTAAAAAATTATAATTTAAGTCAGTTTTATTATCAAATTTTGATACAGGCAGAAAATCACTATTTTTGAACTTCATTGATCATTACAATAAGTTATTAAAAAGAAAAACATGCATGAGCTTACAGTTATAATCTGCTTTCTACTAATGACATTTAGTATATTATTAAACAACTTACTGATATTAAATGAGAGTACAGTAAACAGCATGTTTTTTTTCCATAAGTAGGTCATACTTTCGAACTTAAGATTTGCTCACTATTACTTTTAATTAGACTATTTATTATAGAACTATTTATTTTATTGCTTGCTTCACTCTTTACATTTATTCTGACGTGAGGCTTTTATAAATGAAAACATAACCTGCACGGAGCACTAATTCTAGCTCTCTCAAGATATATTTTACCTCACTTTCCAGTGCACAGAGAGGATCACTGTTTATTAAGAAGGAAAGTATACGACCATAACAAGACTAAAATCGACAAGAGAGTGAAATTTCTGTGAAAGTTCAAGAATGGAATAAAGAGACACATCATCACAGTAGAGCACACCAATCTCAATATATAAATATTTGCTTATAATTAATTTCGAGTGAGACTAAAAAGGAATTTGCATCAGACTTCATTCAGTTTATACTTTCACACTGTTTTTTTCTCAGGTGCTAAATATTTATTTGTCTTTACACCAAACACTTAAGAAACTTTAGAACGATTGAACTTCTACTGAAATAGTCATTTCATATTGCCCCCCAGTGGCACAGCGGTATGTCTGCGGACTTACAACGCTAGAAACCGGGTTTCGATACCCGTGGTGGGCAGAGCACAGATAGCCCTTGTGTAGTTTTGTGCATAATTAAAAACAAACAAACATATTGTATTGTTTCTTTGTTTCTTGTTGAATTTCGCGCAAATCTGATCGAGGGCTATCTACGCTATACGTTCCTAATTTTGAAGTGATAAACTAGAAGGAAACAGCCAGTCAACAACACCCTCCGCCAACTATTTGACTACTTTTTCCCAACAAATAGTGGGATTCACTATTACATTATAAAGCCCACATGGCTGAAACGGCGAGCTTGTTCAGAGACGGGATTCGATCCCCTGCCCTGGAGACTACGAGTCAAGCTTTTTAATCCTACTGTATTAAAAAGTTATAAGCAAACAATTCCTTTGACTTTTTGCTTGCTATCGAGCCTAAAAGGTGAGAAATAACTCCGTTTTTTACTAGTTGTTATACTATTTTGCAGACGTATCCTGAAAAGAAGGAAATAATTCATTTCCACTGAATGCATTCAAGTGTGTACAAGACTAGAAAACGATAAAATTCAATGGTTTGTTTGTTTGTTTTAGAATTTCGCGCAAAGCTACACGAGGGCTATCTGCGCTAGCCATCCCTAATTTAGCAGTGTAAGACTAGAGGGAAGGCAGCTAGTCATCACCACCCACCGCCAACTCTTGGGCTACTCTTTTACCAACGAATAGTGGGATTGACCGTCACATTATAACGCCCCCACGGCTGAAAGGGCGAGCATGTTTGGTGGGACGACCCGCAGATTGCGAGTCGAGCGTCTTAACCACCTGGCCATGCCGGGCCCTAAGTATTGTGAACAGTTTCTATCAGAAGTTTATTTTACCTTTTAATCCAAGGTAATGAACATAAATCAACATTTCATATTTACATACACCTGATATACAATTAACATTTACATTACATCAGAGCTGTACAAATTACAATCAAGCACTTTGAAAAATAGCAGGTGTCGCCTAGTCGCTAGCATTGATATGGGGCCCCCTATCGGAAGTTCTAAGGTTCGAGACTTGGTTCGCCCCTTAAAATCTCCGCGCGATGCAACTGTTGGGGCGGTATAACTATGAGGGTAAATCCCGCTATTGAGTTAAGAGTAGCCGCATAAACAGTGGGTTCTGCTTATTGCTTACCTTCTTCTCTGACCAGATAGCTAGCTATGCGTGAACCTTAGATGTCTCTGAACTGGTAGCTGAGCCCATGCGTATCATATAGAGCAG